ACCCTTATTCCCTTTTTGGTAGGTTTAGGTTCCCTTATGAACCCCTTGAAGCAAAAAGGCACCCTTTTTCATCCTAGGTTACTGGGCAACCCAGCATAAACCCTCAACCCTAAACCCTCAACCCTCACCCCTAAACCGTAAGCCCTAAACCCTACACCCTAAACCCACTGCCCTCTGGCTGCCTGGTGTACCCATAACAAGTCTCGAAACTCCTAGCATGATCAGTAAATATACCTCCTCAACCCGAAAAAAACACCTTACACGCCTAGTTGCCCAAAAGAACTGGCTACCATACCCCCAAAATAGGAAACGGTAGCCCAGAATTCTAGTCTGCTGGCTTTCAAGGTAAACCCTCCTCCCCCGCTTCTCCCCCCCTCCCCTAACCCTAAAGCCTAAACCCTACACCCTAAACCCTAAACCCTGAACCCTGAACCCTGACACCCTCCCCCCAAACCCTAAACCCTAAACCCTAAACCCTAAACCCTAAACCCTAAACCCTAAACCCTAAACCCTAAACCCTAAACCCTAAACCCTAAACCCTCCTCCGCCCTGGCCCTGTGAGGAGACTGAAGGCATCGAGCTGCTGGGAAGCCCACTGTCGCTACGGCTCGTGGAGGACGACTCTCAGTGGCCCGGCTGCACCTCGGGGAAGGGGTCGCAGGGTTGGTCTGGTGTGCGGGGTTTAGGGTTTAGGGTTTAGGGTTTAGGGTTTAGGGTTTAGAGTTTAGGGTTTAGGGTTTAGGGTTTAGGGTTTAGGGTTTAGGCCTTTGGGCTGTGGTCCAGTTTTCATTACGTGTTCGTCCTAACACAACCCTGACAGCCTCGGCCTCAAAAGGACGTTGCTGGAGGGGTCAAGGCCGAAGCGTAGCCTGTTCTAAGCTAAATTAGGGTTTAGGGTTTAGGGTTTAGGGTTTAGGGTTTAGGGTTCAGGGTTTAGGGTTTAGGGTTAAGCTCTTTAATTAGTTGCTAGAAACCCCGAAAAATCAAGAAACGTAATCCCTGTAGTGCCCAGAAATCGCATTCAGTATAGATTTGTCAGTTTGACAAAGTATTGAATGATTTGTCCAAAGTGATTCTGAATGTTGAGACGTCGTCCTCTGTATGAGAAACAGTTAAACCAGAGACAATGGCTTGTTCTTTCGATAGACAAATAAGGGCCTATCCGACTGTCTTACAAAAACACACGAGATAAGATGACCCGGACATGTCGAAACATGTTACAAAATCTATCAACACAAAACCAAAACCCTGAACCAACACCCTACACCCTACTCACTGGACCCAAAACCCTAAACCCCCTCTTCTGTCTCTGGGCCGAGACTCGATTTCGACGCGGCCACGCACAGGCCCGCGGCTTTGGCACCTTCGGAAGAGGTGCTCCAGACGGGGTTTAGGGTTTAGGGTGTAGGGTTTAGGGTTTAGGGTTTAGGGTTTAGGGTTTAGGGTTTAGGGATGTAGTGTTTGGGGTTGAGGGGTTTAGGGTTTCGGGTTTAGGGTTTCGGGTTTAGGGGTTCAGGGTTTGGGCCTTCTAGAGCTCCGCGTATACGAATAAAGTCTACATTGGGGTCTCAAGCCTTTAGATCATACCTACTTTGGGGCTTACAGTCAACTGCCAAAAGTCGGAACATCATTTTCATCATAGCCTGGGAGGGGTGCTCAAGGGAATCCCAGCACTAATCCTCGAACCATGTTCCAACTACAGGGGTTCAGGATTTGGGGGGTTTGGGTTTGAAGGCTTAGGTTTGAGGATGGTGCAGGTCTGCAGGTTTGTCATTCTGGGGCGCTACTGACACGTGACTCCAAAACCCTTCTAGGGTTTAGGGTTTAGCTTTTAAGGTTTAGGGTTTAGGATTTAGGATTTAGGGTTTAGGGTTTAGGGTTTAGTAACGATTGGGCTTGAAGTGCGTGAGCCCCCAGAATAGTACTGTTGGGGCTGAGCTCCGACTGGCTTTTAGCGATTGAGGGTTTTGTGGGCTTCCTTGAAGTTTCCTGGCTAGGTACGAGTAGGTTTATGTTATTATTGTTATTCTTCTTATTATTAATATCATTATTGTTCTTGTTATTCTTATTCTTACTATTATTATTATTTTATTTTCATGTTACATGCTTAAAAGCCCCAGGTAAGCCAAGAACCCGTCGTCGCCATAGCTTCCCCTCACTCACAGCCCCAGTTTATAGCCACCCATGAGCCTCCGAGCAGGGTTTACAGTTGAGGCTTCGTCTTCGGGTGTTGCGCCGCGGCGCGTTTCCTCATCCCAGACCTGCGCATATTTTTCATCATTGCCTCTCTCTTTCTCTTGATTTGTCTGTTTCCCTTCGTGGTCCCTTCGTGCGTAGCACGGCATGCTCTGCCGCCTGGTTAGCTCGCTTTCTTAGGGTCAATCTTGAATTCTGAAGCCAAGGGGCTCTAGGGCATGTTGGGTTAGGGTCTGGTTCTGAGTCTTAAGAGCTTGTGCCCAATAACGCCGCAGCCCAAACGCTGCAGGAGCAGCTCCCGCTGTGGATGTTGAGGTCACAGAGCCCGTAGGGTCTATTTTGGGTTTAATTAGGGTTTAGGGTGTAGGGCTTGGGGTGTAGGGTTTCGGGTTTAGGGTCCCTAGAACCCCAAGCTACTAATCGGCCACAACGTGCAAAAGGCAACCGAGCTCGATGCCGCAGAATGCGTCTTCGTGTCCTCGCGGCTTCGCAAGCGCTCCCGCAATGACTGAGGGCAAAAAACAGAGTCTGGGTGGATGCATACAGGGCTTAACGTACATAATACTTGCACACATATACATATACATATACATATACATATACATATACATATACATATACATATACATATACATATAATGTGTATATAATAATAACAATATAAATATATACGTATATACATATTATATATATACACACATATATATGCATACACATCACATAAGCGCATACAAGTTTCAGGCTTTCTCTCCTTAAACTCAATATGAGCCGTAAACCCCATCAACCCGCGTTCTCTGCGGTATAAGCCAGCAGCCCTTTATGGCATACCGACATACTTAACCCTCTACTGCAGGCTTCTAGTCTACGGCCCCGGCTTTACCTCAGGCAATCCCAGGATTTTTGTTTACACGCCAGGTTCAGGTGGTCTGGCAGTAAATACGAGTTTGGGTCGTAGCTTATTGGGCCAGACAGGGTATCCAACCAAGAGCCAGCATGTAGAATAGGGTCAGGGTATCGGTGCCCAGAAACCTAGCGCTTAGCCCGAAATTGGGGAAATGAGTAGGGGAACTTTTTGTTCAAACATCCGGTTAGTGAAGTCATTGTTATGGACCCCCAGAACAGCACGTAAGCTTAAACCCTATTTGGGGACCCCGGCATGGGGGTTCTTGGAGGCCCGTTTTCCTCGTTTTCCTTGATACTCGGATGGGTCTCTGTGAGCGCATCTGAGCATGCCAAGGCATCAGTGGGTTGATTGTGGCTTCTTTGCTGCTGGGGGTGCAGAGCTCAGAACTTCAGGTGCAGCTCACGTTCTGACGAAAATGGACAGGCGCGGCAACTCTGAACGATCTTCGCGCTGAAGGAAACGATAAGAAGGTGAAGACTAGGACAGGTCTTGTAATGATGCAACTTATGGGTTGTAGGTTGAGTCCTCAATTCCATGCCAAGCCCTAAACCCTATCCCTAAACCCTAAACCGACAGTCCATCCCGCGCAAAGGTGTTCAAAGGCCAGTACCTCGAGAAGAATGCTCAGCGGCTGATCTTCGAAGTCGAGTAGAACTCGCAGGCAGAAGGGCATGACCCCAAACCCTAAACCCTAAACCCTAAACCCTAAACCCTAAACCCTAAACCGTGTATGTCTATGGTGCTGGTGGTATATATATATATACATACATACATACATATATATATATATATAGATATATAAAATGCACACGCTGAAGGATCCTATGGTGGCTGAGGGCCTTGGGCCTTTGAGATGAAACCCTGAACCCCGAACCCTGTGCATGAGGGACTCATAGGACCCTGGCATGTCATTTCCCGCGCAAGCGCTAAAACCCGGGGCCCCAGGAGTTCAGAGTCTGTATAAGGCTTAGGGTTTTCAGGGTTTAGGGTTTAGGGTTTAGGGTTTAGGGTTTAGGGTTTAGGGTTTAGGGCTCAGGGCTTAGGGTTTAGCATCTTGGTGTTCATCTGCATGCCTGGGTTCAAGACATTCACAGCACGCCTTGATTTCCTTCCCGGCTGGTAGCCCAGGGCTACCCTTTGCCGTTTTATTCCTAGTAGTAGAGTAGGTAACCTTTAACCTTTTAGGGTAATATAATCCCCTTATAATCCCAAAGGTTTTCCTAGGGTAATATAATCCCCTTCTAATCCCAAAGGTTTGCCTTTAGTTCCCCCAGGTTTCTGGACAACTAAGTATTTGCTCTGGGTTCCCTTTTAAAGTAGCCAACCAGCAAAAGGGTCCCCACAGAAAGCACTAAGTTGGCACATGCAGTTTCCATTGCTAGCCATACCAGCCCCCCTTGACCCATGCAAGACAATCACCTGAACCATCCGCAGGCCCATACAGTGTATCCCCTAAACCCAAACCCTAAACCCTAAACCCCAAACCCAAAACCCTAAAGCCTAAACTCTAAACCCTAAACCCTAACCTTCAGGCCACGCCCTGCCACAACGAGCCTTCTGCCACGACCTCAAGTCCAAAAAAAACTCATAGGAGAATGTAGCTTCAACAACCATGTTTCTGCAAGACTGGTTAGTAGGGAATGGGGGAATGAGGTACCCTATATCTCTATTTATATATATATATATATACCCTTTAGGCGATTATATAGGGTACCTCATTCCCTCATTCCCTGCTAACCCACAGCAAGAAGACCCACGAGCACTGGCCCAAAAGAGCAAAAGGGAAGATGGACATGGTCAAAGCCTCCTGGGGCAAACAAGACGTTGTTTTACTCGAGTTATCCATATGCCCCAAACCCTAAACCCCAAATTCCAAACCCTAAACGCACCTGATGCTGAAATGGCGCGAAGCAAAACGAAGGCCAAGCGCTGCAGTGTATTCAGCAAGGTTTTGTGCCCATGTGACCCTTGTCTTGTACTGCCAAGGCTGCCATTGCCAAGTCTGATACCAGCGAAGGCCTAAAGAAGTCTGATGCCACCATTTTGCTGCTCGAGTTCAGCGGTGGCGAGGTTGCTGTTCTTTGCGCACAAAGCCCAGTGCTTCTGCTTGTCTTTGAGAGAGGCTTCTTCTCAGAGACCGTCTTCCATGCATTGATGAACCGCATCATCGAGTTTGATGAGGAAAGGGACTTGATAAGGCGCCGGCGCGAGCTGGAGGACTACTATTCCGTGGAAGACTATGCAAGGTGGGCTGTCGATGATGGGGACGGCTACCCTGCCCAAACTCAAGGTGATGTAGATTGGTATGCCGAAGCTTTTCGCAAGGGCATGCGCTCGCACCTGGAGTTGAAGGAAATTGATGAGATGGCGTACTTTGCAGAAATGCTTGCAGATCGTCACTAATATGGGTGTTATCGACTACCGCAAGGACTTCCATCTGGTTTGGAAGAGCGCGCGCGTTTGGATCCGCAGGGCGAAGCTCGACTAAACCGCCATCACTCATTCAGTTAAGTGTGAACTTAGGGGTTTAGGGTTTAGGGTTTAGGGTACGAAGCTCATGCAAAGGTGTGTGGCAGGTGTGCTTATGGGATTCTCACGCTTGGACGCTTGCATGTTTGCCTAGCTCTACCAGCAGAGCAGCCCGCAGCGCCACAAGGAAAACATCTGCCGCGCTTGCACCTGCTCCCCTGTAGTTCTTCCCCAGGTCTAAACAGACGGCTTCCCGGTTACTTTAGTCGTTTTCACGGTGCTCAGAAGCTGCAACCTAAACCCTAAACCCTAAACCCGAAAGCGCGAACAGGCTGGTGACCTCCTTCGTGGCCCAGGTCAGCAGAGCCAGCCGATCGGCGTTCGGTGAAATAGGCTTCGGTCGAGCGTCCGCGGTCTTTACAATTCATGAGCTCTGCGCTGGGAATTCTAGGTTTAGGGTTTAGGGTTTAGGGTTTAGGGTTTTAGGGTTTAGGGTTTAGGGTTGAAATAGGGTTTATGGTTTAAAGTCTACACTAAGAGCCCTGGAGCGCTGAACCCATGCTAACACCTTGAAAAGCCAGAATCAGCTAGTCCGACATTGTTCTAGGATCCAAGAACAACTTGCCACAACGTACCTCAAGCCTCTACCGGTTCACCTGATGGAGACCATTCTAGGGGGATGCTGCTGTACCCTTTAACCTTTTTGAAGAGTACACCCCTAGGGGTATGTGAAATAGTTCTTAGATAAGACAGCTCTGAGCAGGGTGCGGGGCTTGGGCTTGGGTTCATAGGGTGGAGGTGCATCTCGTGCTGCCCTGAACCCTAAACCCTAAACCCTCAACCCTCAACCCTCAACCCTCAACCCTAAACCCTAATCAGTCTGAGGGGAGTTGGGGAGTTTCATGGGCTCTTAAGCTGTTCCCGAACCTCGTTTAAAGGGTTCTGATGTATGGGCCCTTGATTTGCACAGGGTTGCTAAGGGGGATATAAAGGGGTGCCCTTTTGAGGGCCCATACTAAGGGACCATGTATCTACCCATAGATTCAGGGGCTTTTAGGGTGTGGGCGTTTGGTTTGCAATGTTTTGATCTGGCCGCCCTTGAGGAGAGTCAAAGCAAGTCTCCACAGCAACCACACGAGAATGCCACAGACACAGGAACGACCTAAACCCTAAACCCGAAACCATTTTGTTTGTTTGAGGGATAAGGGCCTTCATGGTACGGACACTTACCTGAAATTGTCCACTGAAGACTTCAGTTGAAGATGTGCCTGTGACCTGAGAACCACATGGGGGTTTTCAGAATTAGGGGTTAGGGTTTGGGGCGGTTCCTGCATATGGCGCTTACGGCATCGTTTCCGCGAACCCTCATCCCACACAGTTAGGGTTTAGGGTTTAGGGTTTAGGGTTTAGGGTTTAGGGTTTAGGGTTTAGGGTTTAGGGTTTAGGGTTTAGGGCTTTGGAGGTATACAGCGGGTTTAGGATTTGGCCATGCCACGCTTACTGCTCTCCAGCTTCGGAGAAGAGGCTGGAAAACGGGTCAAGGGTTTTTAGGGCTATAGGGTTTTGACGGCTTTTAGGGTTCCTAGGGTTTTAAGGGTGTTTAGGGTTCTTAGGCTTTTTTAGGGCTTGGCTACCTTTGCAAAACCCGGCAAACTAGTAGGTTCTCATGGTTCAACGCCCTTTAAGAACCATAAGCCATGACCCCTACGAAATCGTGGGTAAGTAAAGAGCCAGAGGTAGGGTTGTGGTACAGCCTCAAGGATAGCTGCACTCCTCAAACTGCGGCCGCAATGGCTAGATTCCTATGACTTGTGCAACTTTGTTGTTTATGTACTATATTCTCACGTCAATGTAAGTATTGTAGCCTGCGAGTTCAAAAGGATGCCCAGACATCAGATCTTGGATGCCGCGAAAGATGCCATCGGGATTCCCCCCTAGGGCAAATCATTCCGAATCCGCTCCCACAGGCATGATCACACTGCACGCTGCTTGCTGGGAAACTCCTATATACACGGAACCGAGTACGGACAAAGAAGGCAACACGTTCGGCAGCACACGCGAGGCCATACCTGGAGCTGAGAAACGTGAGAAGTACCGCAGCATGTGGTTTGTTTCTCTTTTTGGCTTATGGAGGTTTCTCAGCCCTAAATCTTAGAGGCCAGCCACTTGGGCTTTTAGGCTTTTAGAGGGAGCCCTCAGGCTGACACACCTTGAGGCCCGCTAACTTCGAGATAACACTAAACCCCCAAACTTGAACAGGTTTAGGGTTTAGGGTTTAGGGTTTAGGGTTTAGGGTTTCGGGTTTAGGGTTTAGGGTTTAGGGTTTAGGGTTTAGACAACAAGAACAACACCGAAAGCAGAACCCCCACCCCAGCCTGAAGCCGGAAACCCCAAAGCCTCAAGGTCAAATCTCCACAGGCCTTCTGGTCGCAGCCGACCACACAAGGTGCAAGGGCGGTGCTTGGGGTTGAGGGTTTAGGGTTTAGGGTTTCGGGTTTAGGGTTTAGGGTTTAGGTTTTAGGGTTTAGGGTTTAGGGTTTGGGGTTTAGGGTTTAGGGTTTAGGGTTTTAGGTTTTCGGGGCTAGGAAGCCATAAACATCGGCACAGCTCTTTCCAGCCTTTGCGGTCAGTCGCTGGCCCAACACTCGGCCCACCTGCCCCCTTTACCTTTCCTTTCCAATTCCCCAACCTCCCCCCATTCCGCTCTTCTAAGCCCTAACCCGGAACCCTAATCCCTAAACCCTCTAACCCTCTAACCCTCTAACCCTCTAACCCTCTAACCCTCTAACCCTCTAACCCTCTAACCCTCTAACCCTCTAACCCTCTAAGCCCTGAACCCTAAACCTCCAAGCCTGACCGTTGGGTTCGGGCTTCGGGGTTGGGGATGCTTGGTCGGGCCATAGTTAGGGTTTAGGGTTTAGGGTTTAGGGCTTAGGGTTTAGGGTTTAGGGTTTAGGGTTTAGGGTTTAGGGTGTAGGGTGTAGGGTTTAGGGTTTAGGGTTTTGGGTTTAGGGATCCTTGTTGCAGCTTGGGCCCATCGGCCACGCACGTACTTGGCACGGACTTCGAGTTGTCGGACTTTCGGGGTCTACTTGGAGGTTCATGGTACTTAGTTTCCCAGCTCTAAGTGTAGTTAGAACCCACTCATAAGCCCCTTAAGTACCCCGGTGAATTTGGTTATAAGTACAGATCTAATTCGAAATGATAACCCCCCATATTACGCTTATAAGGAAGAATATGTTTGTTTGGGGGGGTTCTTAAACCCTAAGCCCTAAGCCTTAAAACCTAAACCCTAAACCTTAAACCCTAAAGGTCGGGGTTGAGGGTGTAGTTTTTCGACGTGAAGGTTCCATATTAAGTGCGGATTCGGCGAGAGTTTCCTACCATCTAACCCACGCTGTCGCTACTAAAGCTACCAACCTTCTAGTGGGATCCTAAGCCCTAGTTACCCTAAACCCTAAACCCTAAGGGTCCATGTACCTTATTGTGATATACTTGGGCCCCAAAGTCCCAAAATATGAAGTACTTGCAGGCCCAAGTATTCCATATTTAGGTACGTGGACTCTTCGGGCTCTAATTACCCTCAAGCCCTAAAACCAAAAAAAGCAAACCCTACACCCTATAGACCCTCAAACCCTAAGCCCTATGCCCCCAAACCCTGAAACCAAAACATGAATCCAACTTAAGTTCTAAACCCTGTATACCCCCAAGCCCTGAAACCACAAACCTGAATCTACACGGAGCCTTCTTTTAACGAAGAGGCCCTCCCCCTGTGCGCGGCAAAGCCGCCAGTGCCCCAGGCAGTGGATTTTTGAAAGCCGTTCCACCATAAACCCTAAACCCAAAACCCTAAACTCTTTCAGGGTTATAGGGGACCTGACTCCCAACTTCCCCAACCCAGAGCCAAGAAGCAACCTTACGTTTTTCAGACTCATCACATTTGGTGGCCTGCACGAGCCCGATTTGGCCCAAGATCGCCCTCGGCCCCTTCGCCCAAGGACCAGCAAAAATCAAGCGGGGATTCAGGGACCCTAACATCCGAAACCCTCAGCCCTAACCTCCAAACCCTAAACTCCAAAGTCTAATCTCTAGACCTTAAGACCCTGAACCCCGAACCGAAACCATGAGTCCGGTTCAGTGCTTGGGGTTCTGGGTTTCGCCGGTTTTGGGGCTTTGCCCCAGCAAGAGGCAGGCCATGTTTGGGAGCTGCCTCATGCAACCCTAAACCCTAAACCCAAAACCCTAAACCCGAGACCCTAAACCCGTATCAGCTAAGGCTCAGAGCTTCCTTCGGCACGCCAGTGCATTCGAAGCCAAGGACCCTCTGGTTGACAATGTGCCGGTTTGAGGGTTGAGGTAGCCCTAAACCCTAAACCCTGAACCCTGAACCCTAAACCCTAAACCCTAAACCCTAAACCCTAAACCCTAAACCCTAAACCCTAAACCCTAAACCTTGGGTTTCGGGACTTCGAGTTTGGGAGTGAGGTTGGCGGTCAGATCCCTTCAGGGATCGTGGCTCCGACTCCTGAATGTCAGAGCCTGAGGTGTGGTGGGCCCTGTGCTGGGAGGTTCTCACCAGCAGCTATAAGTGAGGGGGTAATAGGGTCACCAAATAGGCTGTAGCTGCCGTGGAACTTCTGTTACCCTACATACCGCCCGAAGAAGCTCTCCATGAGCCTCCACATACCCACAGAGGACCCTACTTGGAGGTTCATGGTACTTAGTAACCCAAATACAACCCGATTAGGGTACTTAAGGGGCTTATAAGTGGGTGAAAACTACACTTATCAGTGTGTTCTGGCGCTTTGGCGTTTCGGGTGCTGACCGAGTCATGACCCAACAATCTCGGCAACAGAAAGCTCACCTCACCCTTCTAATCCCTACAACCTCTACCCTAAACCCTAAAATGTCTGGATATCTGACATTCAAATTGGTCAATCCATCACAGTCTTCTGAAGAACTCCTTTTCGCACTTTGAGCCTTCTCCCTCCCCCCATCCCCCTGACGAACCTTCGGTGCCTCCCGTCGTCTAGAATCGACCCGGATGCCGTCTTTTAAGGGCTAGGGTTTAGGGTTGATAGGGTTCGGAGTTTAGGGGTTTAAGAATTAGGGCTGCGGGAGTTTAGGGTTTAAGGTTTACGGCTTAGGGCTGGAGTTTAGGGTTTAGGATTTTCGGGTTTAGGCTGTAGGGCTGTGGGAGTTTAGGGCTTAGGGCTGTAGGCGTTAGGACTGTGGGATTTGAAGGCTCCGGCGCACAGCAAACGCAGCTTCATTTCGGACCTTTTTTGAACCTCAAAACCCTTAAACCCTTAAACCCTTAAACCCTAAACCCTAAACCCTAAACCGTGGAAGCCTGAAACCGAAGGAGGAGCCACCTCCAAGATGTCTGGGCACTCAGATGCCTTGCCTTTTGGCTTTTCCTGAAGCCCGGCGGACCTGAGTCTAGACATGAACCGAATATCCTGCGACTAGGGTTTAGGGTTTAGGGTTTAGGGTTTAGGGCTTAGGGCTTAGGGCTTTGGGCTTAGGGTTTAGGGTTTAGGGTTTAGGGTTTAGGGTTTAGGGTTTAGGGATTAGGGATTAGGGATTAGGGTCCTCTCGACCCGAAACCCTAGACCTTGAGACTCCAAGAATATTCAAGAAGCCAGAAGGGCTTAGCCCCAGTCTTCTGGCTAGAGTAGGCCCTGTACCTCGAGAAGTGTTCGTGCAATCGACCAAGATGTGGCTTCCCTCTTCTATGGTCTAAGTTTCCTAAGCCCCACTACGAAATCCTCAGGAAGAACACCCTGAGACCGCAACACCTCCTAAGCCCCCACTAAGCTCTAAACCCTAAACACCTTAAACCCTCAGCACGCAACCCCAAACCCTAAACTCCAAACCCTAAACCCTAAACCTGAAATCCTAAACCCTAAACCCCAAACCCCAAACCCCAAACCCTAAACCCTAAACCCCCTGAAGCCCTCCAGCCTCCCAAGGCTACAATCGCCAGGGGCAGGCTCCTTTGACCAGCGCTCCGTCAGTTCAGGGCCCCTCTTTCTAGGGCTTTGCTGGAGTGGAGGGGGGGGTTAGGGTTTAGGGTTTCGGGTTTCGGGTTTAGGGTTCCTGATTGAGAGTTTGGTGGCAACAAATAGACCCCCATTTTCATTGATTCCCCTTGAACCCATGCCCCCACCCTCCACCCCCACCCTCCCAAATGTAACTCTTCCGACCCCTGAAGCGGCTTCCTTTGGCAGCCTCAACTACCTGAACTCCAAGCACCCTTAGGGTTTAGGGTTCGGGGTTTAAGTTTTGGGTGTAGTACTGTAGGGCAGGGGTTAGGGTAGAAGCCCCTAGGCCCCAAGCCCTACCCGTGGAAGGATGGAGGCACCATGTCGTGCAGGTGTGCAACTTGTCTGCGCTGCCGGATGATGAAGAGAAGGAGGCAGCGCTGGATAAGTCGGGGCCGCAGCTTTGAAAATCCTACTTGGAGACTTGCAGCGTGGTAGAACTGGGGTTGCAACTAGTGTGTAGGATCCGAATGTCACATGTACCGCGAGTGACATTCTCTTCCATGTCCAAGAGTTTGAAGGCGCATGTCTGTTCTTCAACAGGCATGACTTTGTGGGCCGCCCTCGGTTGGCAGCTGGCACTCCAAACACAGAGAAAGCCAAAGCCTTTTCGTCGCCAAATGGCCGTAGGGTTTAGGGCTTCCGGTGTGGGGCTTATAAGGCCTAGGATGTATAGGGCTTAGAAATACCAAGCCTTTTTCGAGCCAAGGCGAATGGAACGGCTGCAAGCAGATATGGAGCTGCGGCCGAAAATGCCCGAGCCCCAACTTGTTCCACGTGCTAAACCCTAAAGCCTAAACCCTAAACCCTAAACCCTAAACCCTAAACCCGAATAGGGTTGAGGGTTCTAAGATTTAGGGCCCGCCCTTCGAGGCCAGGGCTTAAGGGAGGTGGGTGCTCGTCACCTAAGGTCTGTAGCACTTGGGTTTATGCCTGGTGCCCTCTCTCCTAGGTTGAGGGTTTAGGATGGAGGGGTTTAGGGTTTAGGGTTTAGGGTTTAGGGTTTAGGGTTTAGGGTTTAGGGTTTAGGGTTTAGGGTGTAGGGTGTAGAGGGTCTAGGGTCATCAGAGGAACCAATTGGATCGTTTTAGTTCATACTTCATGGTGACCAGCTCCCCAAATGCCCACTTAGCCAATAGTTAAACTTTAAGCTTGTTTTGGGGTTTCCTTGTTTAGTAGGAACAAATACAGTTCAACCTGTTTTTTTTACCTTGGTGATCGGAGAAGTAAGAATGTTAGTCCAGTTTTAGGTTCCCGTTTCAAGATGGAGCCTTTGATGTAGGGCACCCTACATGGGGCGGTCCGCATTCTCAATGAAAAATAGGGTTTAGGGTTTAGGGTTTAGGGTTTAGGGTTTATAGTTTGGGGAATTCTCCCCTAATCCCCCTGAACGCCGAACTCTCTAAACCCCTACTTGATTGGGGGTTCAGGGTACTTATCACCCAATCATATGTGTAGCTATAACCCCATAATAAGCCCCTCAAGTACCCCAATAGGGTTAGAATTGGGTCCGTTGTAAGGCACGCCCGCCCGCCCGCGCCCACGCGCGCCCACGCGCAACCCTAACCCTAAACCCTAAACCCTAAACCGCTCAAGGTACTCCAATTCCTTGAGGCAATAGCGCACGACACTTGTGGTACAGCATCCATTGCGGCCCACGCAACACAGCTGAACCACGGAGACCTTGAGCCAAGATGGATACGGCGCAAGCGATCAACGACATCCTGAAAGCAGCATGCGATCCCGCTCTCTTGACGTCCCGCCTGGGATGTATCATGGGCGACCTGAAAATGCACCGCCGCGTTCAGAGAGCTTTCCCGGACGACCGCGAGTTGGAGACTCTCTTGTTAGAGCTCAACATGCCCCTGATTTACTGCATGTCAGAGGAAGTCTTGGACGACGACCGGATTCTGCACATGGCAGGGGAATACGGGGACAAGGAAGCATTCGGGGAGCTCACTCTGGAGGCGTTGCAGATGAAGCAGTTCCACCCGAACTGCGTGTCATCGCATTGGAGGGGGGCGGCGACCCTCCTCTATGGTGGCAATACATGGTCGACTTTGTTCGCTGGTGGCAAGACGGACAACTACCGCAACCTGACTTCCACGGAGGGTTGGAAGCGCCTTGGTGGACTCCTGGAGGACACATGGCCAACGGTGTTGGCGCTTTTGCCAACAATACCGACAACAACCAACCCCATGGGCGAGGAAGCTGTTTGGACTCACGACCAGGGCATGGATGACATTGAAACGGCTGGCAGCACGTGCATTGACTTTGTCAGAAGATCCATTCATGGAATTGGATGCCTCACAATCGTTTCTCAGTGCCTACGGCACAGTTTGCATGCCGGCGTTGCCCTTCTATGGGATCCGATCAGAAGAAGATGTGAAGAAGCAGCTTGTGCTTTGGAAGCGCAAGCCGGTGCCGTCGGAAGTCGTGATGCACGCGACAATCGACATGGCAACCATGGATTGAGTCATCAGCTCATCCCCACCCCTACAGAGGAAATGCACTCCTTCCTCGACTGGGTGGAGAACGTGGGAGTGAATTTTGCGGACACATTGTTCATTTTGGCTGATCTTATAGCCATGCATGCCACCGGCATTGTTCACTTTTTGTATTTGAGTGCCGCTTGGTGTACCATTCTTTCTTATTTAGGCACAGGCATACCCCAACTCGGGATGTTGCTTTCAGGAATCCGACGTTTGCTTTGGGACGCCGGGTGTTTCACTTTCAACGTGCTTTCTCAATGGGAAATAGCGGCGCCGAGCTTGTTCGTCGAGCCGAAGCTCTTCGTGGAGAAGCCCTGCTACATGCGCTGGCTGATGGACGACTTCTACGAGCTGGAGTTCTTGGTGGAGCTGCGCTTCTATGTGCACTAATGTTGACTTCGCATTAATAAACCCCCCCCCCTTCATTGATCAATCTTTTCGGCCAGGGCCTCCTCAATAATATCCGCCTAAAACCTGGTAGGACGTAGTATTAGTTTTAGTATTAGGTAGTAGTACCACTAGTAGTACTAGTAGTACTAGTAGTACTAGTAGTACTAGTAGTACTAGTAGTACTAGTAGTAGTAGTAGTAGTAGTAGTAGTAGTAGTAGTAGTAGTAGTAGTAGTAGTAGTAGTAGTAGTAGCAGTAGTAGTAGTAGTAGTAGTAGTAGTAGTAGTAGTAGTAGTAGTAGTAGTAGTAGTAGTAGTAGTAGTAGTAGTAGTAGTAGTAGTAGTAGTATAATTCCGGGCGGGGATTTTTTAATTGTGGCGGGTTACATTATTGTGTTCCGGGCAGCGGGATTTTGTAATTGTAGCGGGCTTTATTAATGTCAAGTCAACATTACATGTGGCTCGCCATCTTCGTGCACGAATCGTTGGCAGACTGGAATTCTCTGTGGGGCTACTACAACGTGGGTCGCCATCTTCGTGCGCAAGTCTTTGGCTGATGAACTGCTCTGGGGCGACCATGCCTTTTCTTGCCCAGCCCTGCTGGGGTCTACAGTGCATGCCCTTATATGGGCGGGCTTGCTTGGAGAAAGGGAGTCATTGCATTTCAAAAAAAACCCTAAACCCTAAACCCTAAACCCTAAACCCTAAACCCCAAAAAGCCAAGCCCCAAGCTGACAAAAGCGCCCCCTTCGGCACAGGTATCTCGGGAGCCAGGATGCTCCTTGGCCTGAATTTGTTTAGGGTTTAGGGTTTAGGGTTTAGGGTTTAGGGTTTAGGGTTTAGGGTTTAGGGTTTAGGGTTTAGGGTGCTGGGTGCTGGGTACACCTCCTAAATCCCCAACATCCCCACATCCCAAAACCCTACAGTTTAGAGTTTAGGGTTTGAGGGGTTTAGGGGGTTTAGGGGGTAGGGGGTTTAGGGGGTTTAGGGGGTTTAGGGGGTTTTTTACGGTTTAGGGCCCCCAAATCCCCAAATCCCCAAACCCTACACCCTAAACCCTAAACTCATGTCAAACCCAACCCCTTAGATGGCTTCAGTGTTTTTTGGATTGTGGGCGTGTTTGTTTTTTTTTTGGGGGGGGGTGGGTGGGGGGGGGGGGGGGGGGGGAGGGGGGGGGGCGTTGTTAGGCTTTTGGGGATTTGGGTTTTTAGGGTGTTAGTGCTTTAGGGTGTTGGGGTGTAGGGTTTAGTTAGGGATTTGGGGTGTAGGGATTTGCTAGGGTTTTAGGGTTTTAGGGTTTATGGGGTTTAGGGGTTTTCAGGGTTCAGGTTTAGGGTTCGGGTTTGAGGTCCCTAAAGCCGACAGCCTTCAACCCCCCCAAATTGCAAAGCAAAGGGACCTTGAGCAAACACAGAGCGAGAGAAAACCCTAAACCCTGAACCCTGAACCCTAAACCCTAAACCCTAAACCTTAAACCTTAAACCCTAAACCCTGCGTAACATCTTTCAAGCCGAGCTGGACATCCCAAGCGCTACAACCTGACGGAAGCAAGCCCAAAGCCCACCCTAAACCAGACAAGCCCATGCCCAAGGCCCTTCAAATACTACACCCTAGAATGCCCTAGAAAGCCCCAAGCCAAAAAAGAAGATCGGCACCTAAACCCCATAGCCTTCCATCATCAACCCAAGCCCTACACGAAGCCCAAAGCCCAAAGCCCAAAGCGCTTAGCCTGCTGCTGGGGCCTTCGTGGCCCCCGATGTCGGGAGCTGGGGCTGACCTCCTCCAAAGCCGTTTAGGGTTTAGGGTGTAGGGTTTAGGGTGTAGGGTTCAGGGTTTAGGGTTTCGGGTTTTGGGTTTAGGGTTTGGCGTGTTTTTCTCGAAGTCCACCTTAGAACGACACGAAGAATAAGATAAATACTGTCGCGAAAGCAGTAAGCTCATAGTATACATGCGAATACAGAATATCAGTCGTAAGACAAGCATGGATGGAATATATATATATATATGTATATATGTATGCATACACGTATCAAACAAAAAAAAGCATGATGCTTGGGGGAGGGGGGGGGGGAGTGGGGCAGTGAGTCACAGTGCTACGATAGACCTTAGGCCCTAGGCAAAAGGCTTGCATCTTCTGATAGAGGACAGAGGCTCCACCCTTCCTTAGGCAAACTACTTAAAACGGTCTTTGGGATCCGAACATGTCTTTGCCGAATCTTCGGGCGTCTGGGTAGTTTCAGGCAAGCATGCGCGCCCCAAGCATGCGCGCCCCAAGCAACATGCTAAACCCTAAAACCCTAAACCCCTAGAACCCTAAAACCCTAAGACCCTAAAACCCGAAAACCCTAAAACCCTAAAACCCTAAAACCCCAAATCCTAAACCCTAAACATGCAAGGTCATGAGCCAAGTCGACAAGGTGCCCGGTCGGAGTGGGTAACGTTAGGGTTCACAAAACCCTAAACCCCAAATCCCCAACCCTAAATCTGCTTCTCGCACCACTGGGGCGGCGGGGGGGGGGGGGGTGTCGGGGGGGAGGCGGGGTGTAGCTGTTGGTGCATTTGATCCCTACCTAGGTGCTGGCAGATGGTCCTCAACTTTTTTTCGGGAAGACCAACCCCTCTTGACTCCCAAAGGTTCACGTTTATTTTCCTAGACACTCGGCCAGAAAGTTTAGGGTTTAGGGTTTAGGGTCCTAAACCCTAAACCCATAGGGCGTTGGGGTTTATGGTGTCGTGGAGTTGCGCTTACTGGTTGCCGGGTTGTCTGCTGTAGGGCCCAAGTTGTTGATGAGGGCCTGATTCGGGTGTGAGTTGAAACTGGCCCCACCCACACCACCCAATCCTGCCACCTCCCGTCCCCTTAATATGTTTTGAAGCTGAAGCCCTAAACCCTAAACCCTAAACCCTACACCCTAGACCCTAAACCCTAAACCCTAAACCCTAAACCCTAAACCCACTAGATCCCCTAAGAGACAACGAAAGACAAGCTCGTCAGAGGCAAACGCCCTGTCCGCGGAAGAGCTCAAGAACATGGAGGCCAACGCCGAGGCCCTCTTGTTTTAGGGTCCAGGGTTTGGGGTTTAGGGTTAAGGGTTTAGGGTTGAGGGTTTAGGGCTTAGGGTTTAGGGTCTAGGGTCTAGGATTTAGGGGTTTTTGGCGCCATCAAGGAAATTCAGAGGCTGCCTGGGAGATCCTCAACCCTAGACCCTACGGTAGCGCGACGTGAGGTCTCGCGCGAGAGATTCGTACTGTAGGGGCCTAAATGATTAGAATAGGGTTTTGGGGGTTATTATCGTATAACTATAACGGGACCCCTATACCCAAAACCCTAAACCCTAAACCCTAAACCTTTAGGCCTTTGGGTGAATGTCAAGGCTCTCCAGACCCCGGCTGTCGAAGCCCAAGCTGAGGGTTTGGGTCTGGGGGTTTAGGGTTTAGGGTTTGGGGTTTAAGGTTTAGGGTTTAGGGTTTAGGGTTTGGCCGCAAGTCACATCCTCAAAAGCAGCCACGAGCATGCAACTCCCACATGCCCATGCCCCCTCTACCAGAAAGCCCTTGGAAAGGCCGCCAGTGATTCCCCGAACCCTCAACTCCTCAGACTTCTTCTAGCTCGCTAAAAAACCAGCGCCCCACACCCCTAAACCCCCACCACACCTCCTCCGACTTCTAGCTCGCTAAAAAACCAGCGCCCCACACCCCTAAACCCCCAACTCAACTCCTCAGACTTCTAGCTCGCTAAAAAACCAGCGCCCCACACCCCTAAACCCCCAACTCAACTCCTCAGACTTCTAGCTCCCGAAAAAACCAGCGCCCCACACCCCTAAACCCCCAACTCAACTCCTCAGACTTCTAGCTCGCTAAAAAACCAGCGCCCCACACCCCTAAACCCCCAACTCAACTCCTCAGACTTCTAGCTCGCTAAAAAACCAGCGCCCCACACCCCTAAACCCCCAACTCAACTCCTCAGACTTCTAGCTCGCTAAAAAACCAGCGCCCCACACCCCTAAACCCCCAACTCAACTTCTCAGACTTCTAGCTCGCTAAAAAACCAGCGCCCCACACCCCTAAACCCCCAACTCAACTCCTCAGACTTCTAGCTCGCTAAAAAACCAGCGCCCCACACCCCTAAACCCCCAACTCAACTCCTCAGACTTCTAGCTCCCGAAAAAACCAGCGCCCCACACCCCTAAACCCCCAACTCAACTCCTCAGACTTCTAGCTCGCTAAAAAACCAGCGCCCCACACCCCTAAACCCCCAACTCAACTCCTCAGACTTCTAGCTCCCTAAAAAACACCAGCGCCCCACACCCCTAAACCCCCAACTCAACTCCTCAGACTTCTAGCTCGCTAAAAAACCAGCGCCCCACACCCCTAAACCCCCAACTCAACTCCTCAGACTTCTAGCTCGCTAAAAAACCAGCGCCCCACACCCCTAAACCCCCAACTCAACTCCCACTTCTAGCTCGCTAAAAAACCAGCGCCCCACACCCTAAACCCCCACTCAACTCTCAGACTTCTATCTCCAAAAACCCAGCCCCCACCCCCCTAAACCCCCAACCCAACTCCTCAGACTTCTAGCTCGCTAAAAAACCAGCGCCCCACACCCCTAAACCCCCAACTCAACTCCTCAGACTTCTACCTCCCTAAAAAACACCAGCGCCCCACACCCCTAAACCCCCAACTCAACTCCTCAGACTTCTAGCTCCCTAAAAAACCAGCGCCCCACACCCCTAAACCCCCAACTCAACTCCTCAGACTTCTAGCTCCCTAAAAACCAGCGCCCCACACCCCTAAACCCCCAACTCAACTCCTCAGACTTCTAGCTCCCGAAAAAACCAGCGCCCCGCACCCCTAAACCCCCAACTCAACTCCTCAGACTTCTAGCTCCCTAAACACCAGCGCCCCACACCCCTAAACCCCCAACTCAACTCCTCAGACTTCTAGCTCCCGAAAAAACCAGCGCCCCACACCCCTAAACCCCCAACTCAACTCCTCAGACTTC